CAAACAAGGCACAAAGAAAATAAAAGTTCACGAGATCCCATCTCAATGGAAAGTGTTGGATGGTAGGGCATGTGCCTGTCAGCCCAGCTACGATACATGGTAGGAAATAGGTGGATAGAGGTCAGACATGATCAGAAAAGCAAGACTGTATCTCAAAATAACCAATGCAGAGAAGGGCTGGAAACATGACTTAGTGACTACAGCACCTGCCTAGTAAGTACAAAGCTCTGAGCTCAAACCACAAAACCTCAAAAACAAAATCTGAAACAATAATGTAATGTACTTTGGGAACAGGGCAAAGGGGAAGCCAGGACCACCATTACAAGTGCTTGTGAACCAGAGCCTCTGTCCTGCTTATTTGAGTGTAGTCATGGCAACCATCACCAGAGCACCCTCTTCTCATGAAGGTCCTAGAAAGTAAGTAGCACCTGTAGAGGTAGAAACTGAAGCTCACACAAGTCCCTTCTGTCTGTCTCATTGCATATTTCTAGAAAGTGTCTCCACAGCAAGGGAGAAAGAGTTCATCTGTGAGTCTCATCTGTACACTGAGGCTAAGACTTGGACAAGAAGAAATAGCACAGTTTGGCTCCTGTGTGGGAAGCATGGCCCCAGCGTGGTGATGGTTAGAGGTGGTGGAAGCTTTGACAGGTAGGGCCCACTGGAAGGTCACCAGACCACTGGAGCCACGCCTATGGAACCCTGGTGAGTTTTCCCCAGAGGGTTGCTATGAAACAGCAAGACAGGCCCCGCCCACTCTGGCTTCCCATCTGCCATGCCATCTCTCCTTTGCACTGGGTATGAAACAGGCTAATTGTTCATGGGCAAGAAACCCAAAGTCACAGCGTGCAAGCTATCTAAATGCCACCCCTAAGCTGTCCTTTGCTGAGTGACACATGCAAGGTTGTCCTTTTGCCTCGTATTCATTCCCAGCGGAGGAAGAGGAAGAGTTGGTTTGTCCTAATATGAGAAACCCTTCCTTGCCTGTCCTTGTGGCTCTGTTATCATGATGTGAACCAGCCGAGAACCTGTGCCAGGGAATAAATCAATAGGTCCACCCTCTTTGCGACCAAATGTACCTCTTTTCTTTGCAAAGAATGCAGTCTTAAGTAGTTAGTAATAGCAACAGAAAACAGACTAATGCAAAAACAAAGCTATGGAGCAAGGAAGCCACTGGCAAATTGGGGGACTAGCAAGTGTTTGGGGATTTGGTGTCACACATTGTGTTGCGATTCAAAGCCAGATAGACTGTCTGTCCTGTTTGCAATGCAGTCCTTGGGGGTATTCTGTCTTTGACTGTCCTGCTGGCATGTCTGGAGGGCACTTGAGACTCAGAACTTTAGGCCAAAAGAAGATTCCTTCCAAGGAGACACAGGGCATGCGATTAAGTTTAGGTAGGAATCTGCGTGGTAGGGAGAGCTTTTGTCACAGACTCAATCATACTTGAAAACGTGCCTTTTGTGGTATTTCAAAACCTCCATTGGATTATAAACCCATTGAAATATATCAATTTTCCAGACTCAACTACCTGGCAGTTCCTCTATCATTGGATTTAATTGGATCGGTGTTATGAATCTGATATTGAGTTTGCCTCATCATTTTTGAGAGGCATGAAAATAGTCCCTGCATTTTATCTTAGCACATCAATACTGGGACAGTCTGTGGCTCTGAGTTTGAACCTGAGGGTCCAAACTCTCATTTTAGCAAGTCTGAACTTTTGATGAAGTGCTCAGTAATAAATTCTTACATCTTCTTTCTATAGTCCTAGATTTACTTTGTATGTTTATCTAGTGAGACATTATTTTAAGCACTGTCAAAATGTTTCTTTTTTATTACTATGCTTCTTAAGTTACAAGGAGTACTAGGAACTAAGAATAAAGACTTTTACAACAGTAAGCAAAAAAAGCCGGCATCCTCAATTTGGTAAGTAGCATGTTAAGCATGTAATTACATGTTAGGTATTGTGCTAGGAGCCTGACATTCCTCTTTAAAGTATCCATCATTTATTTATGCTGTATTTAGAGTTTACTAGAAGCTTAGAGCCTATGGCTCATGCTTGTAATCCTAGAGGCTCATGATTCAAAGTCAGTCCAGCCAGAAAGATCCATGAGATTTCATCTCCAAAATAACCACTGAAAAGCCAGGCTGGAGATGTGGGTGAAGTGGTAGCGCCTTAGTCAAGTATGGAAGTGGAACTAGTGTGAGGTCCTGAGTTCAAATCACAATACTGGTAAAGACAAGAGCCAAAGAGCCTAAAAGGGCAGGCTTTGACTTTGCTTAGCAAGAAAATAGAAAATAAGTAAAGTAAATATAAGCATAATAATTTAAGTAGTCATAAATACCAGTAAATAAAAGCAGAAGGGATTGAGGGTAAAAGGAAACTTTTGTAAGTGGCTGGCATTAGACAAGGATAAGAATTGCAGTGTGGGCGTGAGTCCGTTTCCCCTTCCTATCATGGAATACTGGAGGCTGTTAACTTATAAAGAAAGAAGGTTTGTGTGGCTCATGGGTTTAGTTGAAAGGCAAGGTCCTTAACCTGGTAATAATCTTCCTGTGGCATAGTCCTGAAGAGCCACGGGGTATTACTCTAGGGCACGTGTGTGCATTGTGATTGTTTTCCCTCTTCTTCATCAGGCTACAAGGTTTCCATCTTTATCTTTGGGGCTCTGCTCTGATGGGGTTCTAGTCCTAATGGCCTCCCAAAGGTCCACCCTCTAAATACCATGGGTCGATCCAATCCTCCAACTCTCATAACCTCACAGTGAGGACCAGAGGGGATGCAGCCCCTATCCAAACCTTTGCAATGTATTTGAGGTGTGAGGGCGGCAGAGCTAAGAGGCAGGCTGGAGTAGCTCTGCTATGCTCAGCTCCCAAGACTTGGAGCTTTCCTAGTCCAGCCCAGACCTTTTCCTTGGGCATTTTCTCCTTTCCAGAATTTGTGCTGTCTGTGGTTATTACTCTTCACCATCCTGTGGACCCTTAATCCACTTTCGAACAAGGGCAGGGAGCATCTTCTTCCCTGGGCTGTTCCACATACCCTCACAAGCGCACCCCTCCTCCCCCCAGCAGCCTTCCTTACTGAGTGTGGCCGCCTGCTCTTCCTGTTTTATATTAAGTTCTCACCCTGGAGTCAGCTTCTGGCCATACTATTCTCTTGCAACAAGCGATTTATCACTGTTGCAATAACACACTTTTAAAAATGATTTAATGATCTACTTCCTCCTGGAAAACTCCTTCCTCCTTGATCCAGAGACTTCTGAAGTCTCCACGCAGGTGGCCCCTCACTCTGTGCTTTCCTCTCTCCTCCCCAGCCCTTCTCTTTTGTTCCCCTGGGCTTACTCCAGCAGCCCTCTGAGCCCTCCTCTTGCACACTAGGTTGGATCCTTGGCACTGCTGGCGGCCCCTCCGCTCCATCTCAGCCAACGATTGGGAGAGGAGTGAGCAGGAAGTAAAGGAGACACAGGTTCACTAGGGCAACAGGAACGCAGGACTTCTCTACCCTTGGCCTTGATGGATTAAACAAGGATTCTGCCCTCTGCTACGAGCTGACCAAGCCAGGCTGCTGTCTGAGGATGGCTCTGGCTTCCTTGGCTCTCCATAAGCTCAAGCCAGGCTTCTCCTGGCCCTGGCTCTGAACATCATTGCCTGGGCTTGCCACCTGGGTTTCACTTCCATGGGGCCTTCTAGGCCCAGCCCATCCAAGGCAGCTCTGTCCACTCATCCTGGAAGCCCAGACTCCTGCTTCCGTTCTGCATTGGGAATTATTCTTGCTTTTATTCTTCTGAAGGCTTTCACCTCTCACTAGACCTCATTCTAAGTGCGGATACCTGCACCCTGGAGAGCGGTGCACTGTAGCCAGACAAGCTCACTCGTGTGGGTGGGTTTGGGGTTTCCTAGAAGGTGCAGAATCCAGCCAGAGAGAACAGAATGCCTCCTCTGCAGCACACTGTCAGGAGCTATGCAAGCAACTGGGGCCCCACTGGGGTCTGCAGCCGGCTCCCCAACTGAGAAGCTGCCCTGCAGTTGGGCTCACAGTGCACTTGGCCACAGAAGCAGAGGGAGGGGGTGGGGAGTCACTCCCAAACTACAACCACAGGACCAATACAGACCTTAAGTCCCTGTGCGCCACCCCCCCCCCCCCCCCCCGCCTTTTACCTCTCCCCTCCACACCCTGCTCTGGGGAAGCCCCAATGTCCACGGAAGCTTGGGGAGTCAAGTGCCAGGGTCCAAGCGCACAGGTGCTGCCCACGGCGGGGCAGGGTTTTGGGGCTACCTGCTCCGCCCCCTCCCCGGGGGGGGGGCGCGCAGGGCTGGGGGCGCAGAGGGGGGCGGCGGGGCGCGGCAGGGGCCTCCGGCCAGGACGGGGCGGGACAATGGGGCTCCACCCCGACGAGGGAGGGAGGGAGGGAGATTGGCGGCGCGCGCTCAGCCCGCTCACTGCCGCCGCTGCTGCGCTGCTGCCGCTGCCGCTGCGCGACCCGGGCTGGCGCGGGCGGGAGCGCGGAGGAGGGAGGGGGCGGCGGCGGCGGCGCGTGTGTCGGGCGGGAGAGCGGGTGGGAGGGCGGCTGGCACCGGGCTGGTAAATAAACTGCGATGCTGTCTCGGGCTCGCCGGGCCGGGTGCCGCCGCCGCCGCCGCCGCCCCGGAGCCCCAGTGCCAGGCTCCCGCCGCCGCGCGCCCTAGCTTCGCCGCGCCAGGCTCGCGCGCCCTCGCCGGGCTCCCCGCAGTCCTCTGCCCGCGCCCCCTCGGGGTCCCGCGCGGCGGATCGGCTCGGGATGTGACCTCTGACCCCCCCTCCCCCGGCCTCCCCCTGGCCCCCGGGAGGTCCGCCTTTGCCTGCTTTTGGGGGGGTGGGGTGGGGTGGGTGGGGAGGGGCGCGCGGATCATGGCATTGGAGTTCCCGGGCTTGCAGCCGCCGCCACTGCCTCATCCACGCAGCCCGAGCGCCGGTTCTTCCCCGGGCAGCCGCGGAGAAGGCGAAGCGGCCGGTGGGGGCGAGGCAGATGGGGCTCAAGGCGCGCAGGGCGGCGGGGGCCGGCGGCGGCGGCGGCGGGGGCGGCGGAGGCGGCGGGGCCGCTAACCCTGCCGGAGGGGACTCGGCGGCCGCGGGCGACGAGGAGCGCAAAGTGGGGTTGGCGCCGGGCGACGTGGAGCAAGTCACCTTGGCGCTGGGGGCCGGAGCTGACAAAGACGGGACCCTGCTGCTGGAGGGCGGTGGCCGCGAAGAGGGGCTGCAGAGGACCCCGCAGGGCATCGGCCTCCTGGCCAAGACCCCCCTGAGCCGCCCGGTCAAGAGGAACAACGCCAAGTACCGGCGCATCCAAACTTTGATCTACGACGCCCTGGAGAGGCCGCGGGGCTGGGCGCTGCTCTACCACGCGCTGGTGTGAGTACCCCGCCGCTCGGGGCGCCCCCGGGCCGAGGGCTCCCCGCTTCCCAGGAAGTCTGGGTGGTTTTGTTTGGGGGGGGCGGCGGCGGCTCAGCGCGTGTTCCTCTGTCGTGTGTGTCTGTGCGTGTGCAAGTCGTTCCCAAGATCTTGGAAACCGAGGCTGGGGAGAGCCACGCGCGGCTCCCCAGCGAATTCGGAGAGCGGACTGGCGTGGGTGCGCGCGGGTGCACGTTCAATAGCACCTTCCGGGGTGTTGATATGCAAGCTTAGGAAAAAAAAAGTGTCATTTTTGTTTCTAATTAATGTAGGGGGTTGAGCCGGACGAGACAGGATCTACTTAGAGTCCTGATCCACCGCTGTGTGTGTGTGTGTATGTGGGGGGATCATTTCTCTGGGGATCAGCACTGAGTTTGGATGATATACAAGCCCTGGAGTTGGGGAGGGGAGTGGCGCACTGCTCACCGCCCTGCTGCGTGTGTGTGTGTGTGTGTGTGTGTGTGTTACACGAAGTGTACCCCTCCTTCTCGTTGCCAGGAAGAACCTGGTGTTGCTGGGATGCGGGCAGTGTGGGGGGAAGGGGGCAGGAGGAGGGTTTGGACCGGCCCAAATGCGCGACTCTGGGGCATTTAGGGCAACTGATTTGGCCATGGGGCGGGGTTTCCAAGCCTGGGGCTGAGGTTGGGGCTTAACACTGCCAGGAGGCAGGGAGGGTTGGGGATTATTTTGTCTGAAGCATCCCCGTGATGTAGGTTCTGATCTTCCCCCCCTCCACACACACACACACACACACACACACACACACACACTACCGCCCCATCCCCTTAGAGATGAGAGGTCAGCCTGGAGGTTTGCTGCCCCAGGCCTCCCCTAGTCTGCAGGTCAACGTGGCCAGCTGGAACACGGAACTCCTCCAGCACCGGAGAGTTGGGATGAAAATATCCTCCCGCCTTTCGGGAGAGGAAGAGGATGCTGGCCAGGTTCCTTACCCCAAACTAGAATCCTGGCTCGTGGGGGCACATGCCAGGGCTGGAGGGCGCTGCCAGCTGTCTAGCCTTGGTTAAACCAATGTGATGGCTGGTTTTGAGGAAGCTGAAGGGCTGCCAGGGTTTGGGTAGGAAGTTGGCCGTGACCTTGAAGCCATCCTTCCCTAATTAGGCCTAGCAGTGGATTTTCCTTCTCCCTTTGACCCATTGACTGATAAGGTGGGAAGGGCTCCCTAGACCTAGGACTTGGTCCAACTATCATCTCCCAGCCTTCCTGGTTAGAAGTGCTTTTCCTGATTTGACCACCAGGTGGGGGCGTCCACACAAAACCTTACATACATATTGCAACAGGTTTCTTCAGGGATGACCAAAGCTTGGAGAGGGTGCCTCCCTGGAAACTAAGGGGCCAGCAAGAGGGGGGCATACCGGGGGCATCCTGTCCTCAATGTGGATTTGGGGCGTCAAGCGTTTGGCGTCTGTGTGTATGTGTCTTTGCCGGTGTTGGGAGATGTCTTAGCAATGGTTACTCTCATTTGCTCTATTTTGAAGGCAAAGCAGGACTTAAAATATTATCTCTGTCTCCAGCATTGCGTTTAATGAAACAGAAACCAAGTGAATGGTGGAATGCGGGGTCAGGGAGAACTGGCACATCCGATGATCTGGATGAACTCAGATACACACACTGGCATTCTTTTTGCACAGAGTTGTTGTCCAGTGTTTACTTGCTGCCTTTCAAACCTGGGGTTCCACTGCAGCTGTGGGGTTCCTCCTGCTTTTCCTAGCCAGCATTTGCAGCCACGCTGTGTCTTGTTTGCAGATGGGGCAGCCAGGGCCTAGGGTTGGCAGAGTCTCAGTGTCATCCTTCTGTTTAATCATTTCTTCACTTGGAAGCAGTCTGAGAAGGCAGAAACCTGTAGCTCAGTTTCCAGGAGTGTTTAAGCTTGTGGAAAGGAAGGGCTAGCCACCCAGTCAGGCACAAGCATGTATGTAAATTTTACTTAACCCTCATGCTTGATTCTCTTTCATGAAATTGACCATTTTCATTTTATGAAGGTAGAAAACATCAAAGATCATATACTTAATGCTTTGGAACTCTCCTCTCTTCCTGTTTTTCTGTACTGAGATTTGAATTCAGGACCTTGCTCTTGATAGGAAGTTGCTCTACACTTGAACCGTACTCTTCACCCTTTTTTTACTTTGGTTATTTAAAAATGGGATCACCCATTTTTTACCTGGCCTGAGACTATGATGCACCTACCTCTGCCTCCTGGGTAGCTGGGATTACAGGAATGCACCACCATGTCTAGTCCTAGATCCCACATTTAATGGAATGGTTGAGCTTTGTTGTTGAGTCCCCATCCCTAGTCGGACTCTCAGGCAAGACGTGAGAGACCGGATACTGGGCTGGGCATTGCTAAGCACTCCTTTCCCCTTGGGGAAAGACCCTGTGGTCATGCCTCTACCTTTCTAGCACATCCTTGTCAAGTGATGGGAAATGGGAATTTGGGGGATCACAGAAGGGTCTGGTGGAACACAGGGAACAGCAGTGTTAGGAAAATGTGGGTGGGAGGATGGGACTGTAGATTCTGATTAACTCAGGATGTACAACAAATCTTGCGAGCTGTGTTTGAACCGCTAGTGCTCAGATATGCTTGGTAAGTGAGTGCAACCCATATCCTTCCTTCCTGCGGCTCAGGAGGGAGCCCGGGCAGTGAGACATAGCTGAACCTTCATGGGTGATTCAGGAGTTTTCAAGACATTGAAATTCAGACTTTGAAGCTTGTATGAACCTGTTCTGGGCTGTGGCTAATGGCAGGAGGGGGCCTGTGCTTCAGCTGACCATTGTGCACAGACTAGAGCATGCTTTTTTTTCTTTCTTTTAACATGAACCAGACCCAGAGATGAGACTTTTTTTTTCTTCTCTTCCCTAAAGATAGAATACAGGAAACGTGGAAATCAATCAAACCTCCACCCTGCTCCTGGCCTTAAAAGTCCATCCTTGTACCTTCACCTTGGCCTAACTCGGGTGTCATTACCTCCAGGAAGCCTTTCCTCACCTCCCCAAGGCTGGACTGGAATTTCCTCTCGTCAGTGAGACACCCCTTCCCCCCCACCCCCAGTTTTACAAGTTTACACATTGCTTTGTGGATCAATGTGTTTGCGTGTGTGCACCATTGAGCCCTGCGCAGTTTGGGGGGGGGTGTAGTTCAATTTTAGCATTCTCAATCCCTGGGAGACTCCAGAGCCCATGGTAGGTACTAAGTAAGCATTTGCAGTGTGGAGGCATAAACGAATTCTCTCAGGATTCTGGTTAATCAAGACTTTGCTGTAAGAGCTCCTACCACGATCGCAACACCGGCAGCAGTAAGCAGGCCGAGTCAGCATTGCAGGATTTTAATTAGGAGCCAGAGTCCTAGGGAATCTTGGATTGTGGGAGTCAGAAAAGGTAGGAGTGCTTGCTTTACCTCTGGAGAGGTTGATACAGCTCCACATTTTCATCCTCTGGCTGCAAGGTGCTCTGCTGTTACAGAAGGTGTGCTGAACTTGCAGTTCACATCTGGCCTTGGGTTGCTGTGACTTTGTAGAGCTAAGTTGTGATGACCTGGAACTTGGGGGTGATAAAATACTGCCCTTTGCATGAACATTAGGCATAAATAGTGGATAGGAATGCAATCAACCCAGATCCTCAGGCATTCTGAATCAGGGTCCCTTTACAGTCCCCCTGCTACCCACCTGGTACAGTGGCTGTCCTGAGGGAATCAGAGAACTCCCCCTGCTTAGCCTGTTCACAGGGAGGTGCTGGATTCATCTTGGCACTGTTGCTGGCTTGGCACTATGCAGACATCCTGTTGCCCTGGCCAGTCTTTTAGCAGCCAGCTGGATAGGATCACTCATTTGCCTCTTGACAAACTGAGGGGAAATGATCTTGAAAAATACCCACTGATTGCTTCCTAAGGTGGGCTGGCTCCAGGGACAGGTGGCAGGCAAGATTGGGTGGAGAAACCCAAGGATCCAGACGCTGTCTTGGCAGCTGGAGGGACTGGCTGGGAGTTTTACAAGTCATACAAGGTGGATACAAGCACCCAGATTTGTGCTTATAGGCCCTCAGTAAGTAATTTCTCTCCTTTACTTCCAATCTTTTTAATTTAATAGTTTAATTTACCTTTTTATTGACAGTACGGAGCCTTGAACTTAGGGTATCACGCCCTTGTCTGGTCTTTCTACTCAAGGCTGGCACTCTACTGCTTGAGCCACAGCTCCACTTCTAGCTTCTTGCTGGTTTGACGAGAAGAGTCTAATGGACTTTCCTGATCTGGCTGGCTTTGAACCGTGGTTCTCAGCTATCAGCCTCCTGAGTAGCTAAGATTATTGATATGAGCCACTAGTACCCAGTACCCAGCTTGCCTCCCATCTTTTGTGTGTGTGTGTGTGTGTGTGTGTGTGTGTGTGTGTGTGTGTGTGTGTGTGTGTGTGTGTGTCGGTGTGGGACTTGAACTCTGGGCCTGGATGCTGTCTCTCAGCTCTTCAGCTCAAGGCAAGTGCTCTACCACTTGAATTACAGCACCACTTCCAGTTTTCTGGTGGTTTATTGAAGATAAGAGTCTCATGGACTTTCCTGCCCTGGCTGGCTTTGAACCGTGATCCTCAGATCTCAGCCTCCTGTGTAGCTAGGATTACAGGCGTGAGCCACTGGTGCCCAGCTGTTCCCATCTTAATCGACCACCTTTTTGTACATGTCATGAGACCCTGTGTTGTAATAATATCATTTTGCTTTTGTCTGCATTTTCTGATTTCCCTGCCTATCTCCTTGCTCTCGACTTTGCAGTTTTCAAGTCACTCAAATAGAATGAGGGAGCAGCTACGGTTGGCATGCACAGCCCCAGTGTATCAGATCTCTAGGCAGCAGGGACGTCCTGTGCTGGGACTGTCACTCCACAGGTAAGGAAAAGAGATGGGATCCCATCAAGTGGCCAGCAGTGTCTGGGAGGGTGAACAGAGCTTCTCACAAACAAA